TTCCAGTAGTTTGTTGTATGGCGCTGGGAGTATTCAGCAGTTCAGTATATTATAGTCAAGATTCTTTTGCTTTCATATTTATGGACAGTAATTCAAATCTGCTTAAGTAAAAGTGAGCACTTCATTGGCTTAACACAGATAGTTCATGTAATCTAAGGACAGGACTTGCAGTTACAAAAGACAGGAACAGAAACTGGAACATCATCAGGAAACAAGGCAGCTACTCACCTTACCCTGCAAGGCTTGATGATCTGTTGGTGTCCAATTCAGTCTTCTCTCTTTGAACACTAGGTTTTAAAACTCTTCCATGTGCCTGGTGGAAAATAGGTACAGCCCTCCTCGGCAGCTTTGCTGCTAAATAACCCCTCAGCTTTACCAAGATTGTCCAGCTTCTGTCACATGCCCATCTATTATGTGTGAAGGAACCCATCCCTGTTAGAGCCATTTTTTACAGTAGGGCATGATGAGTAGACATCCACATAAGTGTAAAACAAAACATGTCTACATCACCTCATTTGGAAAACAGGAAGACTGAATTATACAATAATAATAATTGATAGTAATAAAGTCATCATTCTGTTTAAGGGACTTGGCAAAGTAATTCGCAGGTATTAGTGCCTTAAACCTTGTAATAAACCCATGAGGCAGGAAGTTTATTGCCCCATTTTACAAGTGAGATGTGTGGGGCATGGAGAGGTTAAGGAACATGCTCAAAATGATCTCTAAGTTGCTTTGTAGTTCCAAAATTCTAAGGTTTTTAATTAAATATCAAAGTCTGAATAAATCTAACAGAGAGGTCAAATAAGTGAAAATAATACAAAAGCATATTTTATTTCTTATCCTCAGGTCATTTTTTTAAATTTGAAAGCTATAGGCTTAAAAAAAAAAAAAAGGCCAGAGATCATTCAATTTAGATGCTTTTCATTCTAAAACAGTAACAATGACTGATGAAATAAAGTTATAGTCAAAATAGTGAGTCGGGCATCCAGAATAAAACAATCTCAAAGTGAGAAATGTGGAGTTTATGGTTAAACAAGAACTCCCATCCCCCAAGTTGAGTTTCTCAAGTTTGCAAAACTAAGAATTTTCCCTTTACAGGTATATTTCAATATTATTTCACAGTGTTAATCATGTATGGTGATGGTAGATTATGATGCTCTATTTGTGATACCATTTGAATCTGAAAATGTCCAACTCTATGCCTAAGTTTTATTGCCTCTTTTCAAATGCAGCACAGTTGAAAAGTTTTGAAAATTCAATCTTTCCCAATGATAAGTAGAAAAGAATGGGAAAAAGTTCAATTAAGCAATTTTTTTGTTTTTTATTTTCATAGTGTATAATGAAAAGCTCTCCATTACTGGAGGAAAAGGATACAAATTCAGCAAAGCTTACACATCAGTAGTGAAGCGTCCTTCACAGTCTCACTGCAATGCGCCCCTTTAGTGGATTTGACTAAAGAACCAAAGTTCATTTTACATGTAATAACTATAGTAAAAAGAGTTTTTTCCTCACCATCTAAGGATGAAAATTATTACCATTATAGGAAGGCAACAGTCATTAAATAAATTAAAAGCATCTTTAAAGTTTTTCCATATACACATATAATATATATATTTTAAATTGCCATTGACTGTACACGCATTGAATTCTCAACTAAAAGATTTACAAAAACTATGTAGAAAGCTGAAGGGAAGGATTCATTTTTAGAAAAGGGAGATCATTCAATCACCTATAAACTACATTAAAATACAATTCTCAAGGGAAAAAAACTATACTAAGAAGTCAGACTTACCCAAGATTTTTTAATCTCATAGTTAATCTTACACATCAGTCGTGCATAGCTATTCTTTAACCCAACTTTGATTTAACAAGAAATCAACATCCAGAGATTAGTTACTTGTTAGCACATAGAGAAGTGAAAGCAGAAAGACTAAACTGAATAATGTAATTATATAAACTTTTTTATGTAAGACTAATAATAGTATTACATACATACGATTGTCTATGAAAATATTAAATGGGCAACAAAAGTTTTTTTCAGAAATATTAAGGTAAAAATCTTAAAGAATAAATGATCTTCAGTTAATATATAGCTAGGTGAATGTAAAAATGTATCTGGGATATTGAAGTCCTAAGATCTGGGGAATCCAATCTTCCAGTTTCAATTCTATAACCCCAAATCTTGTAAATTGTGTATTATTTACACAAGTTACAATAAAATACTTTGAAAATACTATATTGACATTGGCAGCCCCTGAATTTAAATTCAAGAGAATAGTTATTGAAAAAAGATTCCTTTTTTAAGTGACTGTGTTTGTACATGTATGTCTCACATCTAGGAGTCGAAGTGGGGTGGGGGTTGGGAGAGAGAGAGATGGAGAATCATGACTTAGGAAATGGCATTACAAATGTAATTTCTCTTTTCACCACTGCCACTTTTATACCAGAAGTTTTTTTAAAAGTCTACGTAGTAATTATACAGACGCTAGTACCTAACAAATTGTGAAAGTCACTTAATTTTCCAACTATTTTAAGTATTTTTTATCAATTAAAATATGAACTCATTTACTTCAACTCCACTACCGAAAAGTTATCTTCCTTTATTCTTTGTGAATAATACTTTTCCTGTTTATATCATAATATGTCCTCCATGCAGCAGTGAAATGATGGTTACAAGGCCACTCAGAAATAACTACTGGTCAAAAACTATTTTGATTGCCAAGAGAGTAACCGAGCTCTTTCACAGTGTTTCCATATAAATTGTTACTTAAAATCTTAATTAGTTTGTACTTGGAAATTTTTATTATTTAGAGGATTTTTTTGGCCATTTTAGGATTTAATTTGTAATAAGCAGGCATCAAGTCCAATAAATAAGGGTAGCGAACAGACATCTGGATAAAAGAAGGCTGAGAAATAATCCTAGGAATTGCTAGAGGTTTGGCTGAAGTAGCACTAGATAAAACTAAATTAAGAATTTCATCAAATCTACCGATGAAAAAGAAGTTTTATTTACTGAAAAACAATATGACCAGAATATGGTGGCCACATGCTGGCTCGCTGCTATTATATAATTTTGCTTTTAAACTTTGATAAAATGTTTTAAAAAGTAATTTTATCACATATCTCATTTTGAATCTTAACTTTATGCTACCAGCACAAAAAAATAAACATAAAAAACACAGTAACTCAGGCACCAGAACTTGATTCATTAATCAGAACTGGCATGTCTCAATCACTAAGTTAACACACGTGCATACCAACCTTTGCGTGCTTCAAAGTGCCAAAGAGCTTCTTTTCATCGTAATCTTTACTGGGTTTCCAATAAAATAGAAGTACCACTTAGAGAATTCCATGCTCACAACACTGAAGAGGAGAATGTTCTTGCCTTTGGTTATTAAAAGAAGTGCCTACAGGGTTTTTAGATCTCACTTTTATCCATTCAAGGAAATGTGCATGAAATTGCTAGTATTATAAAGCCAAATTTTCAATGTCAGAAGAGTGTCCCAGGTCAGCCAGGCAGAATCATCATTTCATCAGTGAGGACACTAAAGACACATGGTTAACGTGGTGTCTTTTACAAAATATATGCTCAATAAATATTTACTAAATGGTGAACCACCATAGAAAGCTATAGGAAGAGACTAAATGAAATTCCATGTCTTCCGATACTTCACAGCCTCTGAAATGGATTATTTGTCTATAATCAGGTGAGACTGAACTAAGATGAGGATTAACCACAGATATAACATCAACAACAATCCACGGTTTGAAAACATTTCTGTCACATATGTAAATATCATGAGTGAAAGATATCTGAGACGATATTCAAGGGCCAAAGTATAAGAGGAGGTATTTATTACAAATGGAAATGGGCAAAAACATAGTGTCTATATTTGACTCCCTTTCTTGGTGGATAATTGTTAGTGAATTTTGCAAAATAGCTTCCATGGCTGAGCCAAAAGCCTCATTCCACGTGAAAAAGTGGAACCTGGATGTGACTGAAGAACGATACTGAACATGAGATTGCGATTAAATCAGTTGTTTAAAGACATCTTCAATATTCCATCAGTTTTTGAGCCTCGGTATCTATTAATTACTTCATAGGAAGTAAAAGCATAGCAAGAGAACTAAAAATTTAATGGCTTCGGGAAGGATTTTTGAATTAAATTTAAAAGAACAAATGAAAGTACTTGTGAAAAAGAGGTATAGAAGAGGAATTACATCTGAGTTTTGGAAAATTGGGTTGCTGGTTTCCTTTTCTGGGAGGCAATGAAATGAAAACAACTGTATTTCCAATTAAGTGGCTGGGCCAAGTGGTAACTCTCTGCACATGCTCTTGGATCACTCTACCCTTTTTGGTAAAGTTCTCATAATTGAATGGTGCTTGCCAGAACATGAAATTAAAAAAACAAAGAATCATGTGTAGATCGAATTATAAAACCATGTTAAGCAAACCTTCCTGCAGAGGGCACAGGCACCTGGCAGTGCACACACACACACATACGCTAACACTCAGCACACACTCTCCACTCGATTATTCACACAGAGCTGTGTGGAGAAAAACACAGGTAAACAAGAGTCTCAGAAAATTTTAAGATAAACATCGCAGTTGGTCGGATTATTTAGCACTTGCTGAATTGCTCAGGAATCTAAGGCAACAAGCCTACTTCAAAATACAAAATTATTCTCCGTGAGTAGAGATAAGTGTTAAGCTATTGCTTTTTCAACCTATTTTGAAAACCCATTATAAAAATAAATCACTGTGTTCTCTAGTAGTTCTAAAAACAGTTTGTTATCATTTTTCTTATGTGATTAAAAAAAGGAGTGTGTGTCCATACCTACTAAAATCTTGTTTTTAGTTACATTCAGAAACAAATACAGTCCAATTCTTTTTGGCGGAAATTGTCAGTATATTTGCTTATTCTCTTTTGACTATTGAAAAACCTTTTGTATGAAATGTGTTGGCAGTGCAAATAAAAAAAGTCCATAAAAATAAACTGTTGAATTAAGTATTCAAATGAGTTCTTTGCCAGGTTATCTGCAAGCACAAGACTCTACTGTCATGTTAGGATAGACTTTAAGTACCACATTCTTATTTTCATCAAAGAATAAGATACTGAGAGAGGACATCTTTTCTGGCACACAGCAAGGCTCAGGAATTCCAGGAACGACCCCCACAGCTCTCACTATACTCTGGATGGTAGCATGGTTTGATGGCTTCAAAGACTAGAAAAGAAATGGGAGAAGAACATGTAAATTAAGTGGAACTGCCTTTCTACTCTTCACCCCTTATCATTAAAATGCATGTGTAATGAATTCCTTTCAACAATTTAATAAAGTCCTGGCATCATTACACATCCAGCCCTCTCTCCTACATCACCACCACCAAAATGGTTATCATTTATTAAAGCATGTTATTAAGGCATTTCTAGTCTTATGACAAAACTACCATTTCTTACATTTTACATAAAGGAATAGACTCGAAAAGTTAAATGACATGTCTAAAGTCAAATAGCTAGTAAGTGGTAGAGTGAAGGTTTGAACCCAGTTATCTAAGCAAGAACCATTTAATTAAAAACAACTTCATCCCCAAACAGGATTAATATATCCTAGGATGTTTTCAATAATGGGATTGCAACAAAAATGACTTGTTTTTGATCCTTTGCCAATCGTAACTCTAACAGGCACCCTATTTAACACTGATACATTATTACTGCTACTATAGTGATATTTATACTTTTTTGTTAAAATAAAACCAAGAGTGTCAAGGGGCAGTTGATTTATTTCATAGTTGCCACCAGGATAAATTGGATAATTACTCCAGTATGTATTTGCCTTTCCTTAGGAACACAAAATAGAGTTAAGAAGACCAAACCATTGGCCACTGGGGGTCACTGTTGCTCCATGGGTTCAGACTTCAAAGCAGTAGAGTTAAAAGTGCTCTAATAGTGGGCCATATCTGAGAATAATCTAGGGCGGCTAAGGTTATCCCATGTATGTCAGAAGTTTGACCAAAGAAGCTTGGGTAAACTCTGTTCCTGAGAAACATGCAGTTTTATTTAGCGAGCACCGGACAGCTCTGTTTAGCACCGAAGGACGGTCACCTTCCCAAGCCCGGAATGTCTGGGTACTGCCAGAGTGGGAAGAACTTTTCTGCAAGAGGTGCCACAACATTAGTTCTCCCAATATCTCTTTGAGGCAGGTGAAACCAGTATTGTTTTAAGCATATTTTGAAACAGAAATTTGATAACTTGCCAGAGATCGCATGTGAATTCAGGAGTAAGATTTAGGACAAAACTCTGGCTTTTTAATTTCAGGATTTTGAGCCATATTTCTCATGGCTCAGAGGCAGCTCTGCCCCAGTGAATTGGTATTTTAATTTCATACTTCTAAAACTCCTACTATAGGAAACAGGAAAAAAAGAAAACGTTAAGGGTACATACAAGCCAAGAGAGAGGCAAATAATATAGAAATCTGGCATACTATAAAAAAAAAAACCAGAATTCTTTTTGTCAGAGAAAGGGCAAATCTGATTTGTTTCATCCCATATTTCAATTTTAGTGAAAATATTATCCATACATTAGCCTTCAATTTTATTGTGAATAAGCATAAATTATTTTACAAATTAGCCTTAATGATGGACAACTGTTTTTACTCTTTCTTCCTAGAGACCTTAAATATATGTTAAAAAAGAATGCTAACTTTCAATTAATTAGTTTTGCAAAGGAAGGTATTCTCCCTTTAAAGAAAGGAAGTCCACATTGTTCTATTTTTCATATCCTGTGCTCTATACATTGATAAAAATCTGCGTAACTGACACAAAATGCAATCGGTATTATACAATAGAGGTCAATAGCTACTGTTTGTTATTTTGTCAGTATTGGTAATTTCCAAAGAAAACTTTTGCAGACATTTACTTTTCTCTATTGATTTATTCTTAAGACTCAATCATCCAAACATCTTATGATAATGTCCCAAAGGAGTTTTTTAATTAACAGATTTTTCTGACATTATTCTGTTATTGTTAGTGACTCCTATAATATTTAAATTTCATATTAAGTGGATCTATTTAAGTAGACGAAGACTGCTATGCATTGCTATTCCTCAGTGCCTAGAACAGTGCATGTTTTAGGCACTGAATAAGTACTTATAAGAAAGAGCATACCCTCCATTTTACCTATTTCTATGGAAATAATCCCCAACAACAAAAATAAAAGATTCTGCGCAAATGACCCAGAGTAGATATGGAAAATATTCATGGGTGTTTCCTAGGAAAATTCTTGTCCTTTTTTTTAAAGCTCTAACTCACAAATGATAGATTTAGAAACTTTGAGCAGTCTCTGGTGGGCTCGTGGAATTCAGCGCAAGCCCGTGATTCTGAGTTGGTGTGTCTTATCAGGAACTTCTCAGTTTTCCAGGGAGTTTCCTCCTTTTTTTCTTCACTATGGAATCCTCTGATCAAGCCGCCATTAGCAGAAGTAATTCTGTCATGCACAAAAGATCCATGCAGTAAAATGCTCGTCTGAAGCATATTGCCAGTCTATAATTTTTGGTTGTTTTGAATTCTGATCACATTCCTCATGACTCTCTTCATATAGCTTGAGAAATCTATCAATCACAAATGCAAATCTGTGCTATTTCCCTCCCTAGTCTCCCTTTTTAATAAGGGTGAAATATGACTTCACTCTTATTAGTTTAGGTGGGTTTTTTGTTTGTTTGTTTCCCCTTAGGTAATTCAGCACATCAAGACTTAAGATTTTTAGAGTTCATGATAAGAGATGGGAATTGGAAAATTCAGGAAATTAATCGAGGGTGTATCATTCTGAACTCATTAAATGGGAATTTCTTTTTTATAGGGCATGCTTGGTTCAAAGTGTTTAGATTCTCAGCTGCCTGATTCTGTCTTTGCTATTCCATGAAAAATTACTTCATTCCTCCAATCCTTGTTGGTTCTCTTGGATCTTTGGCAGCAACAACGGTTCAATCATTTTCACTTGAAATCTCTGTTTTCCATCTTTGCTAAGGTGGTGAGGAGAGAGGCAAAGGCAAACGACTTGGCTTTAGCTATATGGGTATTTTTCATTTCATGGCAGAATTCCAGGGGTCTCTCCCTAGGAGAACAGATTGGCTGTGGGGGCTAGAAATCAGAAAAATCCAAACTGCAGTGTCTGTGAATGAAATCTGCAGTGGTCAGGCCCGCACCTGCCAAGCTGTGTATGATGTCCTCGAGTTGAATTTGATTACAAATGCATTAGCTGGGGAGAGTATGTCATCAGCTAAGGGCCTTCACTCCTGACCCAGGCCATGAGGTTTTGCTCCACACTCTTCCAGTCCAGCCCACATGGGTGTGATAGCCCAGAAACTATCTAATTGGAATCAGTGAAAGGGCAAAGCCTGGAATTTGGGAAAGGCAGAACACAGCTGTTCTGAATTACAGAACAGGTTGCCGACTTTTGCAGACACAGAGCCCCACCATAGAGAGCAGGCTTTTGCTCAGGAGGCCAAGAAGAAGGAGGGCCAGCAGAGGAGTCTGGCCTGGGAGGACTTTTCTCTGGGGCAAAATGTATATCTAGAGTCTGAAAGTTCTTTGGCGTCTCAGTTATTCCACATGTGTTTGTACTGGTCTGGTGAGAGACCTCATTTTCCTCCACTGCTCTGACTATATTTCTATTTAAACAGTTCACTCCCGTTACCATGTTGGACACTGTGCTAATAACGACCATGCCAATTAATTACCCCTAATGTAGCAGCTTTATGTTGCTTCATGTTTCCCATCCTTTTGGTGACCGTGCCACTTGACAGCCACAAAACCTGGAAGGCTTAAAGGGAACCACTAGAATGCTTTAAAAGTTAAGCAGATCCACACTAGGTGATGAGAGACTGAGAACTCCATGTAACAGCCAAACTTCCACTCTCAATTTGGCAAAAGGAAACCTCAAGCTCAGAGAGAAAACTCCATACTTATCCCTGTTATGTCTCCCTGGAGTTCTGATGCCATTCCAAGTTTTGATAAATATTATGATGAGTTCAGTTGCTGAAGCCGATGCTCTCCTGATTCTATTATTCTCCAAAGAACCGTTACCAGAGGAGCTTACGGGCTGTTGAACCCACAGGGAGAATCCTATTTTAAGCTTTGTGATGTTCAAAAAGAGACTGGAAACATTTACCAAACTTTTTCTTGTCTTACATCTTTCAGTCTCTTGATCCTTTTTCCTATGTGGTCTTTCTTCAGCCCCCTACATTTAATTTTCTGTTCTTCTCAGTCTCAACAATGGCCATTAATAATAATGTCAATAGCAAATATTCATGAAGTGCCTACTATGTGCAAGGTACTCTAGTATCTCATTCTCCCACTGATTTTATTATGTAGATACTATTACTTTTATTACTTATTCTTATACTCATTTCAAAGATGAGAAAATTAACATGCAGAGAGTTTGAGTAACTTCCCCGAAACCATAGCTGATAAGAAATGGAATCAAGATTCAAGCCAAAAGAATTCAACTCTCGATTTTGCTACTCAAATTGTGATTTTTGGATCATCAGCATCAGCAATATCAACATCAGAGCTTGTTAGACATGCAGAATCACAAGTTCTACCCCTGAGCCACTGGATTAGAATCTACATATTAACATGATCCCCAGGCAATCTGCAGGCACGTTAAGGTTAAGAACCTCAGCTATGACCAAGTACATATATTTAATCGTTCTGCTGCACTGACATACTTCTCTCCTTAAAATTGTCTCTGCCATTCTTAACTTATCCCACATAAGTTTTTAAATTATATTCTTTAGTTTACTGAGAACCATGGTAAATTTCTGCTGAAGCAACAGCAAGGTTTTTGAACAGAAAAAGCAGGCAGAGCCAAGAGGAGATGGGGTAATTTTGAAGTGTGGAGACAAGGCCATTTCTCTAGAGGTAAGGGTTGAAAAGCTAACTGACTTAATATCTCGGCATTATCATAGCTTCCCGGGCCCTGAAACTGAAAGTCAGAAGGGGAGAGAAAAACTCCTTGCCCAGGTTACCCAGAGAAATTATAGTTTATGAAAGTGAGAACAGTTATTTGGAAGACTCAGAGGCCCACTTAAAATCAGTCATCCTGGGTTTAGAGACAGACTTTGAATCCATTTCTTCCTCTCAACGCCACAAAGCAAGCCACTCTTTAAAATAAAGATTCATCACTGTCTGTTATGTTTGTCATCTTTGTTGTGTGTTTTTAAATTCTATCCCCACTTGAAAAACTTTTGAGTGATGAGTGAAATGTCCTGTATGAATATTAAGCAAGATAAGGCTTTTATATAATTGTAAATGTATATAATCTTTACTTTGTGTTTGGGTTTATACAACATGAAATCAGCAAAAATTTTTGAAAAAGTCTTAGAAGATGTAGAAAGCCTATCCTTTTAGACAAGAAAGCCTATCCTTCTAACAAGAAAATGGAATGTCAATCAAGTTCCTGGCCCTGAGGCTGACATGGCTTTGTTCAGTTGGTCGTTTGCTTTATGCATGTTACGTTACCATCTCAGTGATCACAGGACTGGACTATGAATATGCTATTTTAAAGATTTATAAGCAAAGGATTTTTTTCTTCTTTATCATGTAACAGCAAAAGTTGATATACTTCAAGTTTTGCAAAAAAAAAAATCAAACTCTGTTCTTCTGAATTCTGTTTCTAGAACCACTTTTTATTATATAACAGAAATTCAAACTATTACAAGCTAGGAATGGAAGTGCAGCAGTAAGCTTAACTGAAGGCCAGAGGGCACCACTGTATCTTACTAACTCTAAGTTAGAAGTGAACAGTCATCTGGACTTGCTGAGCAAGATGCGGATGGTATTTGGGAGGCTTCTGAAAATATATTTGTCAGAATACTGAGTACTGATATGATAAACAATACAGTCTCTATTTATTTGGAAAGAGTTACAGGTAGGAGCTAATCACTTAAAATGAGTCTTAGGAGTTTACAGGGTCTATGTATCCTATTCTGCTGTCCTTTTTGATGTTTATCAGGACAGCAAATGAAATAAACATCTGGTGGATTTTATGAGGTGAGTTTACCTGGCCCAACCTTTATCCTGACCCCTGTGGGGACAACTCACCTCACAAGGGACATACATTTAATCGTTCTGCTGCACTGACATACTTCTATCAAAAAATATTCTGCATCAGGACATCAATTCAATTTGCCCTCCCCTTTGCTCCCATGACATCCACCCACTCTCTGAATGCCCCTCCAAAGCCAGCCTTCCGCCATTCAGGACTTGCTTATTGTGACCTGGTGCAGACTCATACATAGCTAAACAGACCACACGGCTGAATATGCACCATGTTTGTAAGCAACATATAAACGAACTTTGCGCATACATTTTTTCTCATATCCTTCTTCATACCCATACTGATTTCATATTATTTTAACAATCATTAAAGAAAAAACAAGCATAATCATATTACCTATTACACTTTAGGATGAAATAAATGTCTGGGTGGATTTTGTAAATGAAACACACTCAACTTGCTCAGTGTGTCTTACCAATCTATGGAAATAAGAAGTACAGGACAAAGAACAATGGCTACCTTTGGCATGGGGAACTGGCATGCTCCAGAGCAATAGTAGGCATCAAAGGACTTGGGGGAGATAATCCATTCACTCCAGCCAATATCTGCAAAGTCCACCTTAAGGTAGCGCCTGGCGCAATTCCGAGGTTCAATCCATTGCTTTCTTCTTGCCTTCTTCAGGGTCTGTTCATCAAACTGGAGTGTTTGGCTCTTCTGGTGAGGTCCTTTTCTCTGTTTCTTCTTGTTCTTACTCTTCTCTGGGGGCTGAGTCTGAAGGGTCTTGTATGGTTTTCTCTCCTCCCATACTCCCTTCTCCTTGTATTGATATTCTGCCCCAGGAAGCTCATTGTTCTGCAGAGGCAGCAGGACCCCAGTTGAACGCTTCTTCCTCCGTTCAATAGAAAGAGCAGCCCTAATGTGGCTATCCAGTTTGGGCACAGCTCCAGTGGGAAAATTTCGGTGGCCTTGTAAGCTTGATACCACACTCTCTGGCTCAGAAATGGCAGCGTCATTGGCATACACCAAGATGTAAGGTTCAGGAAAGGATAACATCTTCTTTGGCAGCTGGTGTCCTTTGGAGGTAATGTTAAATCCTATGAGGAACTCCTCACTCTCCTTGGCCTTCCTCAAGAGCTGAGTGATGTCTTTAGACAGCCAGGACACAAAGTCTCGGTGAGGTTTGGCTACATCTCCTGAAAGATGACCCAGGAGTTGACTTTGATTTCTGTTGGATTTGAGGATCCATGCAGAGAGATCAATCTGAATATGTTTCCTCTGAGCATGATTTGAGCATCCTCTAGACAGTGGACAACTCAGGTTGATGTTTATTAGCTCTCCAATATAGAAATACAATGTGGCAGATAAAATGTTTTCAGACTTGGTTAGAGAAGTCAGGTTAAAAATATGCAGTCCCTTGCTTTCAAGAGTTCCTAGGAAGGAAAGAAAAGAGAGAGTAAACAGGAGTAAATAGGTCCTCACACCATATGTAAAATTAACTCAAAATGAAAAAAGGAGCTAAATCTAAGAGCTAAAACCATGAAATTGTTAGAAGAAGACGTAGGGGTAAAAATCTTCATGGCCTTGGATTTGGCAATGTATTCTTAACTATGACACCCAAAGTGCAAGCACCAAAAGAAAAAACATAAACTGATAAACCAAAAGACATGATCAGGAAAGGCTGTGCAACCTACAAAATGTAAAAAATATTTTCAAATCATATATCTGAGAAAATCTAGTATCCAGAATATATAAATTACAACTAAACAACAAAAAGTCAAACAATGAGCAAAGGAATCAAATAGACATTTCTCAAAAGAAGATATCAAGGGCCAACAAACACATGAAAAGATGCTCAACATCAGTAGTAGTTATTCGGAAAGTATAAATCAAAACAACAATGTGGTACTATTTGACACATACGAGGCTCGAATTAATAAGGAAAAAAAGAAAATAACAAGTATTAGCAAGGATGTAGAGAAACTGGAACCCATTTACATTGCTGGTGGGAATGTAAAATGCTTCAGCTGCTTTGGAAAATAGTTTGGCAGGTCCTCAAAAAGTTAAACATAGAAATATCATGTGACCCAAAAATTCTACCCTTACATATATAGCCAAAAGAGTTGAAAATGGGTTCTCAAACAAGTACGTGTTTATAGTAACACTAGTCATGATGGCCAAGGATAGAAACAGCACAAATGTCCATCAGCTGATGAGTGGGTAAACAAATTGTGGTATATCCAGACAATGGAATATTTTTCAGCCATAAAAAGGAATGAAGGACTGATACATACTATGTTGTGGATGAACTTTTAAATATTATGCTAAAGGAAAGAAGATAGAAACCAAAGGTCACATATTATATGATTTCATTTACATGAAATGTCCAAAATGAGTAAATCCATAGAGCTGGAATGCAGATTGGTGTTTGCCAGGGCCTGGAGATGTGGAGGAATGGGGAGAGACTGCTTAATGAGTACGAAGTTTTACTTTGGAATGATAGAAATATTTTGGAACTAGATAGATTTGGTGGTTGCACAACATTTTGAAGGTACCCAATGCCATCGAATTGTTCACTTAAAGATAGTTGGTTTTATGTCATGTCAATTTCATCTCAATTAAAAAAGACAAAATAATAATAGTAGAAAAATTTTTTTTCTGGGTTGTGTTTTATAAGCTTTATCTTGTTTTATACTTAAACAGCTGGATTTGTTGGGTATTATTGTTATTATTATTATTAATATTATTTTTGTTAGGTCACCCCTGCCCTCCCTCAGTGGGCTGTGATCATTTTCCTGTCTTAAAAAATTTTTATTTATTTTTTAAAATTCCATCTATTTCCCCATTCCCCTTCCCTTTGGCAACCATTAGCTTGTTCTCTATATCTATGAGCGTGTTTCTGCTTTGTTTCATTTTGTTTATTCATTTGTATTGTTTTTTTTAGATTCCACATATAAGTGAAATCATATGGTTTAGTCTTCCTTGGTCTGATTTATTTCACTTATGGATTTTCTAGGTCCATCCATGTTGTCATAAATGGCAAGATTTCATTCGTTTTTATTGTCGAGTAATATTCCATTGCGTGTATATGTATATCTCTCTATATACATATTACCATTCATTATGAGACTACCAAGAACCATTCCTATAAATTTGGCACAGTACTGTAATAGCTTCTTACCTGAGGCAGTGGACAGCCTACTGGTTACAAGCATTGGTGGAATTAGACTCACCTTGATTCAGTCCTGGCTTAGTCGCTTTGGACAAGCTGATTTTCTCATTTATAAAATGGAGATAATCAGAATTAAATGAGATGTGTGTATAGCAGTTTATAAAGGGTCCAATAAGTGTTTATTAATATAAATTATTACTATTATTGCAATAATTTACAGTGCAAGATGAGAGTGGGTAAGCAAGACCATATATCTCAATATTCAGATAATATATCTGAAAAAATGAACTGAATATTCAAAAGTGTCATAAAGACTTAATGTTGTTTGGAGCTTATTGGAAGTTTATAATATTCCATGAATTTAATAGTTGAAATTAATTTAAATAATTTAAACTAGGCAATTATATTTCTAATTCTTCAAATTCAGAAATGAGAGAGTGTAACAGAATGGGAGATTGATTAGTGAGGGCATAAGTTGTTTTTTTCTCTTAAGATCATCTAATGAGTTAGCAGGTGAGACTCAAGGCTAAGGTTAGACTCAAGGCTGAGGGTGAACTCAAGAATCTCCAGTCCTGAGATCGGTCACCAGAGCTGGAGCCCTCCTCTCTGCACTTGCTCTATATACATATTTGTTTCAGAAACATACACGCAACTGTAAAATTATTTTCTTGATCAAAAACAGATTTCAGTAAAAACAAAATATTTTTACAAAGATGTGGAAACTTAAAATGAGTTTATTGAGTCCTTAAGCACAAGGGAAGTGCAATGAGAAATACATTTTACTCATTTTCAACATTGCATGAAGGAAAAAGGAGGAAACTGACATTTGTGCACATCTGTATAATCCATGACACCAGGATATTTTACAGACCTTTTGAGACCCTAGTCTTAGTTCATACTAGTCACCATATCGTATATACCCAAACTTTGTGTAGCAGATGGAAGTTTAAAATGGAAGGAAGAGAAGTCACTCTGTTCCAAGTATGTGGCAATCAATGGTTGCCAAACAAGACATCCTGGCAGGGAAGAAATGAACTCTGAGGGATATCGTGGTATTGTCTTAATGGATAAACCAATTGAGCTCCTTTCTCCCACATTTTGCTTCAAACTGTTTCCATCTTTCAAACATGCTTCCAGTCACCTTGTGACCTGCTGTTAACCAGCCCTCACCTTTGTGTCTAATCGTCAATATCTTCCCATAAATGTTCCAGAAACCTGCCATATGGCCTCTTCTGATCACTTTTATTTTTATTCAGAGCATTATTTTGAAGTGAAAGCCCTATGGCCCAGTCCCAACTCCAATGCGCTCAATAGCTGTCCTCAGGCAATAATCTAAACTCTTTAATTCTCAGTTTGCCTGCAAAATGAGCCCAATAATATCAACTGCAGAGTTGTCAAAAGTAATTGAAAGGATGCAGGTGAAGCAAACAGCACATAGTAAAAACTCAACGAATGTTAGCTAAGCAGAACTGCACTGTCCGATATGATAGTGATTAGCCACTGAAGTTTGAATTGAGATATTCCGTAAGTGTAAAATACACAACACTGGATTGCAAAGGCTTAGTACAAAAATGAGTGTGAAATATCACATTAATATATTTTATATTGATTACACATTGAAATGATAATATTTGGATATGTTTGGTTAAGTATTGTAATATTGTGATTTATAATAAATATATCCTTGATCCTCTTCCCTTTTCTGGCACAGAGCTCCTAAAATCCTTGGAATTTTCTAAGAGAGCCTCAAAGATGTCTTTTGTTATGTTGATAAGGTGACTTTTGGAGGCCAGGTGAGGATGGGGGCTGGTTGCCAGGGGAACCAACCAAGTGATTAGACAATTGGAACTTTCAGTCCCACCTCCCTGACCTCTTTGGGGGAAGGGAAAGGGGCCTGAGTTTGAAGGTCACACCAAAGGTTGATGATTTAATTAATCATGCCTATGTCATGAAGCCTCCATAAAAACCCAAAGGAACGGGATTTGGAGAGCTTTCAGGTTGATGAACACGTGAATATTTGGGGGATACTGGAGCACCTGGAGAGGGCATGGAATCTCCACACCCTTCCCACCTACCTTGCCCTATGCATTTTTTCCCCATATGTCTGTTTATGAGAAATATCTTTTTGTAATAAACTGATAATTTTATGAGTTTATGAGTTTCCTAAGTTCTCTGAGCCACTCCAGCAAATTAATCGAATTGAAGGAGGGGTCATAGGAGCCTCCAATCTCTAGGCAGTTGGTGAGAAGCATATCTGTGGAATCTGATGCTACCTCCAGGTATACAGTGTCAGAACTGAGTGAGAATGCTTATTGGTTTGGGGAACCCTTCTCCCTTCAAAATTGAATGAAGAACATTTTAAAGATAAGATATTATTAAAATTAATTTCACCTGTTGCTTTTCATATTTGTAAATGTGGACAATAAAACTTAAAAATTACATATGTGGCTTATATTTATGGTTCAAATTAAATTTCTGTTGGACAGTGGTGGTCTAGCATAACCACCAGTTTTAGTAGTTATACAGCTCGAAAGGAAAGAAAAAAAGCATCTTTTTTTTTCCAAATGCAGTGAAGAACTGGGATTTTGCTAAACATGAATATGCACACCAAAAAGTAAATCAAGCAAAAAAATTTCCCCTTTTAGAATGAAACATACTAACCTTTATCAAGGACATATTAGATAATTTTGGTGATTACTTTTTAATTTTTCCTCCAGTTGTCCTTGATTGGTTCAATCTGCAATCAAAAGTCTAAGATCAATAAACTGCTGTAAAATAGAGTTAAATTGGCAGTTTAGCATCAGTGCTTTATGTCATAGGGATTATATACATAGCTTTAATTGTGTTATTTGTGAATTACACATCCACATCCACTACAACCAAAAAAGAACAGGAACCTAAGCAAAACAAATGTTTTACTTAAGGAATATGAATTGAACACCTATAAAGTGCTGGACCCTGGGCTGGGTCTCAGGGCTGCACAAATGATCACTGCTGGCGGGGCAAAAAATTAATAAGCAATATGTAGATAGCTATGCCATGATGATGCTACTCGCTGGCAAAGGCGTTAACCATGCTCTTAGAGCACTGAGGAGCAAGCGATTAACTTTGCTCAGTAAGGGGAAGAGGGACACCCAGGAAGGAGGTCACCTTCGAAACAGTCTTTAAAGAATGAAGGGAAAAAAAGTGTTGGGGAGAGGATGCAAGGAGCACATTCTAGCAGTATGCAATGCTAGATATCTGGAAACTTCTGCATAAGCA